GAATATATATATATATATATATATATATATATATTTGGAACAGAGAAAGTATATTAATATTTATTGTATTTTCTTGTTATTGTATAGTTGTAAAGAACTTTTTGGGGTCGCAGAGCATAGAATACGGCCATAATTTTCTCGGAGAGATGAAGAAGAGAAAAGGTAGTGCATAAAGTGATATACCAAGAAAGCTATACGGTTCTTAGAAATAAAAAATGAAGAAAGCATTCTTGGCAATCTATGTGCAATAACCTAAATAAATGGGGAAAAAAATGACGGTTGCGGAGGTGAAGAGGCATTGTATTCTCACAAAGTTTAACTAGTCGTATCCTAGAAGGGAAAAAAAAAATTGTTGAAATTATGGCAGACTTAAATTTGAGATTGTTGCACTACCTACGTGCGGTAACCTAATCGAATGAAATAAAAAAAAAATGAATGTCTATTATAGAGGTTAAGATGAATTGTAATTATTCTCAGAAAATTTAATTAATTATATTCAAGAATTCTAGCAAGTCGAGGAGGTGGAGAACTTCGCAGAGCTGTCAATTGAGAACGAGCATGCTGAGCATCATCAAGATGAGACGGGCGTGAGGGATCTGCATTTTAGGGAACAACAATATGTTCCCCGTTGGGGTTCCCGTGGCATGAGTGATGGTGGCGGTAGGGGATACCCTAACGGCCGTGGACGGTGTGGCAGTGACAGGGGAGGTGGCTACCAGAATGGGAGCAGGCCCCACCAATATTATGACCAGGGCGGAGATTACTATCCGAGGAATAGTAGGTAGGGAGGGCAGGGCAGGAATTATGGGGGGAACCGTAACCATCAAGGCGGGCCGGGTTCAATCTGGATATTCTCCACCAGATTCCTAAACCATGGTGGAATTTAGTTGTTAGTTTCGTTATTTTGGGGAGGGTTCTGGAGGGTAGAGGGGGTCTGTTCATTAAGAGATCCATCCAGAATCCGTTGAACTCTTGAAAATATGGATTATATTTTTGGGGAGGGGGTGTTTCAGTGAAAGTTTGTACTTTTAGATTCTCGTAAATTGCTTTTTATCTTTGCACATATAAAAAAAATCATATTCAAGAAGAACAAAAAATTAAAATTATGCCCAACTAAAATCTGAATTAATTAATCTTGAGAATTGTTTCAAGTATGCTAAAATAAAATTATTCGTTCAAACCCCAAAAAAACATTCCCAATCCTCATTCCTATTATAAGTAAAAAGTTAAAATTCTAACAGAAAGTTGGAAGTAAGGAAAAATAGAGTTAATGTTCTTTGGATTTTAAATTTAAGGAAATTAAAGCAAAATATATTACTTTATTTTGTTTAGTACATATAATTAAGAATGATGTTGTGGGAATTCAGATTTTTATTTTAATTTTTATTAATAAATTAAGAAATAAATTCTAACTATTTTATTACCAAACGTATTCTTAACGTGTTTTTGAAGATACCATTCATAAATTCTACTTCGAATTCAAGAGTCTATTCACAAATTTGCAAGAATTAAAAATTGTTAGAGATGAAGCCATTCAATTTAATATAAAACAAACTATTGTCTTATAATTTCATTTTCCATTAATGTCATAGTAATTCCAATATCCTAAAATAAAAAATTATAGTAAAGTAGAAGAGATTATCATAGAAAATCACACATATTTGAACAAGTATATCTCCTATAAAAAAAAAAGTAATTTTAAACGCAGTGGGGAAAAGAAAGAAGAGGAAAAATCTTGAAGAAAATGAATGGTGAAAAAGAGGATATGATTAATTAAAAAATATAATGATAGGAAGAAAAAAGATAGTTATAGAAAGAAGTAAATATAATAAACTTATTTAATGATTAAAATCCATAATAAGGTAAAAGAATACCAACTGATGGGTAATCAGAATTCTGGAAAGTTGTCTTATTTTTTATGATCTCGATATTCTTTTTACTTCCCTAAATTTCTTAAAATTGAACCAAACATAAATCTTTAAACATAAGAAAAAAGAATACTTTTTTTTTGGTATAATTAAGTAGGCTAATGCCCTAAGTGCAAGAACAATAAAAAATTATTTTTTCTAGAAGTATCAATAGAAACAATTAAACTCGCTACCAATGACAGCCGAAAATTATACCGTGCGCCTTAAGTGCACCCAGCATTAAGTGCACCCAGCTGGCTATATTTAATGGCGCGTACAATTCATGAGCTACGTAGGGGTGTGGGTCAGACCATGCGCGCTTTAGTGCGCAGGTTTTTTTTCTTTTTGTATTTCCTTTTTGGTTTATGGGATGATTTTGGGGGCTTTTTTTCTTTTCTTTTTTTTTGGTTTACTAGGGAACTTTTGGGGGGTTTTTTAGTGGGATTTTTCTTTTTTTTTTTTTTGAGTTTAGTGGTTTTTTCCAATTGTGAAATTGTGTATTTATCTATATATTATTAACCTCTATTTTGATTATTTAACAATGGAAAACTTCATGTGTTTCTTTTTGCAATTTATTTCTTTTTACTGTAATTTCAATTTCTTAGTTAATATAATTTTAAATTATACACGGAAGCTGGAGGACACTTTAAATGGTTTTTCCCTCAAGCTCTAGTGAAAGATTCAACATGATCCAGGTGTTTGGGCTAGATTCGTTACATCCTTGTTTGATTTAGCGAGGTCTAAAACAAGTTGGAAGCGGGTTTTAAAGGTTGAAATTCAGGCAGCAGAGAGCAGTTTCAAGATCATAAATGATGGAACATCTTCTTTTTGGTTTGACAAATGGTTGGATGAAGGCATTCTATGGAGAGATGAGGCAGCTCCTCCTCGGCCAGAACTAACGGCGAACGAGTTATTTTGGTTCAAAATCTTCTTCTTTTGCAAGAATTTGTAGGTTTAATAGACCCTCACTTGGCGTGAAAATTAAATGCAATGGAGATGACCATTGTTGAAGACCAAGACTACCTTGTGTGGAAGTCAAATCCAAGGGGGAATTTCACTATCTCATCGCCTTACTCGAATTTGTGAGAAAAAAGAGAAGAGATTCCTTTACTTAAAATCTTTTGGAACAAAGTTTTGACAATTAAAATATCCTTTTTTATGTGAAAGCTTTTTAATAGTTTGCTTCCTTTTATCGAAATTTCGCAGAGAATGGGAATTTGTGCGAGACCATCATGATGTCTATTTTGTTGTGAAGAAGAAGAAACCATAGATCATACTTTCTATCAATGTGCAAAGGTATAACCAATTTGGACTTACTTTGCATCATCTTTATGAATTTCTTAGTCTAACCATGTAGGATGGAGGAGCAACATACAAGTTTGGCATTCTATGGGGAGCTATACCACAGTTAAGCGGACTATTCAAATTGTGCTTCCGAATTTTCTCATGCGGGAAATCTGAAAATCTCGCAACAAGTTGCTCTATGAAGATACAAAGTTTTTCCCGGATACTCTTACGCAAAATGTTAAAGCTCACATTTCAAACTTGATGAGTGTTCACAAGCTTCGAGCAAGAACAAATGAAGAAAAGCGAGGCTTAGAAAGGATTTTCAATGCAAAAGTCTTAGCTCCAAAGCCCAAAAGAATTCTTTCTTTGAGATGGCAACCACCAGAGCCAAGGAAAACAATTTTCAATACAGATGGGTTATCGTTTTGTTTTTTTATCAACGTTGATCAATTTAACCAAATTTTTTAAAAATTAACGGTAACTCCTTTAATTGGTTAACTCCATTTTTTCATTATTTTCCTTTGACATGGTCCCACCGATATTTGACCACAAAAAGAAAAAAAAAAAACTCTTTTTCTGTTTTTCATTTTCATTAAAAAAAAACCCAAATTGGGAATATGGATTAATCCGATCGAAATCGGGATATCTTTCATACCTTATTCACTAACAATAGTTTGATTCGCTGGATACATGAGTCGTGCACATTGACTGAAATTTTCAGCTTCATCCTCTGAAATAGAAACGGTCCAACCGGCTTCCAAAGACTAATCAAAAGACAGTCATAAAACACTAAAAGATGCCTGGGAAAACTTTTCTTTGCCTACTTCTCCCCTTGGAGACAACGATACACAACAATGGCGGCTTCTTCATTGCCGCCTAATATTTGTGTCACTTTCGCAGACCAGTAACAACCTTTTTCGAACCAATACACGTGGTTATCTATCTTCCAATAACCAACACAGATGAAAATCAGTTCCGAAATGGCTTCAGTCGGAGAAGCTTCATCGGCGCTTCGATAAAATCAGTGGATATCAAGGCTGCTTTATCACTTGCTTCTCCTATTCTTCATGTTTTTTGGATTTTTTTTTTTCTGAAAATGAAAAATAGAAAAAAAAAAGTTTTTTTCTTGGTCAAATGTCCGGGGGGCCCATGTCAAAAAAATAATAAAAAATAAAGGAGTTAATGGATTAAGGGAACCATCGTTAATTTTTTAAAAAAAAACATGTTAAATCGATTAACGTTGATGACTAAACAAATAGATGGTGCCCAATTTTATCAGTCGAAACTTAATGGTGACTCGAAGTTGTGACCCATCAATATTTAAGAAACAAAAGTGCGTTTTGTCTTTTTTTTTTAAACGGTAGAAGTGTAATTGTAAAAAAAATAAATAATTAAATAGTTCTCGCTTGGAAATACTATCAGAAAGAAAATTTGCACCGATGGAAAATATGGCAATGTAACCGTCCATCAAAGAATGCTTAAGGAGGTTCGCGGATGAGTTGCGTCTTCTTCACTCGGTGATCTTTACAATGCAAAATTATTATATGTTCTTAATTGAATAATTTTTTTTTGTACAGAGAAAGTCTTTATTTTTTATTTTTATCTTCTTGTTATTGGGTAGTTGTAAAGAACTTTTTGGGTCACCGAGCACAGAATATGGCCATACTTTTTTCCGAAAGATGAAGAAGAAAAGAGGTAATGCATAAAATGATAAAACTTGTAAGTTATATTGTTCTTAGAACTCAAAAAAATGCAGAAACATTCTTGCGCAATCTATGTGCAATAACCTGAATGAATGGGAAAAAAATGAGGGTTGCGGAGGTGAAGAGGCATTGTAGTCATCTAGTGACTGATAATATTTATGAGAGCAAGCTAAAAAAGGAAGCTTGTTGGACTATCTCAAATATCACTGCAGGAAACAAGGAGCAGATTCAGGAGGTGATTGAAGTCCTGTTGTCTAACTGTGTTTGAATGCTGAGTTTGAGGCGAAGAAGGAAGCTGCTTGGGCTCTTTCCAATCCTATATCTGGTGGAACTCTTGAACAGATTAAGTTCTTGGAGAGCCAGGGTTGCATAATGACGAAGCCATTGTGTGATCTTTTGGTCTGTTCCGACCCGAATCTAATCCGTGCGTGCTTGACAGCTCTAGAAAACATTTTGGAGGTTGGAGAAGTTGAGAAAAATCTTGGTGACACAGGAAGTGTAAATGTGTTTGCTAAGATGATTGATGAAGCTAATGGTAAGGAAAAGATTGAAAATCTCCCAATCTGCAACGACAACGACAACAAAATCTCATTCTCATAAAGTTTAGCTAGTCGTATTTCAAGAAGAAAAAAAATTGTTAAAATTATGCCTAACTTAAATTTGAGATTGCTGGGCTATCTATGCGCGGTAACTGAATAAAATAAAAATGAATGTCTGTTACAGAAGTTAAGGTTAATTGTAATCATTCTCAGAAAGTTTAACTAATGATATTCAAGAAGAACAAATAAGTTAAAATTATGCCCCAACTAAAATCTGAACTAATCTTAAGAATTATTTCAAATGTCAATGTGCAATATACTAAAACAAAATTATTCGTTCAAAACCCAAAAAACCATTCCAAATCTTCATTCCTATTATAATCAAAAAGTTAAAATTCTAACAGAATGAAATCTTCATACCCCAAAAGTTTTGATTTCCTTAGAATTATTATTTATAGAGATACATGAATGTAATCTAACACGACTATGCCTATGGGTATATATACATAATAGAACGGGAGAGAGGATGGATTAAACTTCTGAGTGTGTAGGTACAAAGACTTTTGTTAGGTTGCCGTGCGTGTTATTAAAATACATCGTTTTTATATCAATTACTCGATAAATTTGTAATTTTAGTAAAAAAAAGTAATAGTAATGAAATTCTAATAGGATAATCACTTTGGGACATAGCCGGCTCATGTGAATTTTTGGGATGCAAAGAATATTAGTGTATTTACTTGTCTGAAATTTAAAAAGAAATGATGGTGTTTTCAAAAATCAAACCCTTAATAGTACACTTTAAAAATAAGAAACAACATAGTGAATTCATTTTATTTAATTTCGTTTTTTTTCCTCCGGTAACTAAAAACTGATAGCTCATGTTTCGCCCAAATCTGAGGTTTTTTGCTTTATTTTTTCATCCAATTCTTTGACTGGATAGCGCTTCAACACCATAGGAGTTATCATAGGCTCAAGGCTATCGAGACTTTATGCTTCGGAACAGAATCTCTTTGTTGTATCCCGAAGAACCCAAAGAACCCAACCAATATTTTGTCTTCGAATCCCATCCAAAATGTTGAGACCAAACTTGATTGCTCAGCTTCGGGAACAGCATTGACAATGTGCCGATGAAGCTCATGGGAAGCATCTGTTTTACCGCCCAAATCCGAAGGAGTAATGAACCATTGAATTGATAATTGATTAGAAGTTTCGTCGTGTTTTCTCTGCAAAATCCCAAAATTGTAATAACCGACTATGCGAAACAAAGAAATAGCAAAGAGAGTTATTTTTATTTTATGGTTTTAAAAAAGTAATAAAAAAATAATGATAAGTATGTTGTTATAAAATTATATGGAATTTTTTTTTTTGACAAATAAACAATTACCCATCATAACATACAGTGTTTAGGCTATATCCGCTTTTTAATTTGACTTCTACCGTTCTTTGCCAAATCTTTCCTTTTTCTATTCCGGACTAACAGAAATTTGGATGCACCGGTTTTGCTCAAAATTTTGAGCTTTTGCTCTACGAAGGACATAATTAAATAGGATGGTGGTTTTTTTAAAGGACAAAACACACTTTAAGTCTCTAAACTTTTTGGGGTCACAATTTCAAGCTACCATTAAGTTTCAACTGACGAAATTCGTTATCGTCTTTTTATTTATTCATCAACGTTGATCCATTTAACGGAATTTTTCAAAAATTAACGGTCGCTCCCTTAATCCGTTATCTCCTTTATTTTGTTATTATTTTCCTTTGGCATGGGTCCCACCAACATTTGACCATAAAAAGAAAAAAACCTTTTTCTATTTTTCATTTTCAGGAAAAAAAAAAAAAAAAACCAAATTGGGAGTATGGATTGATCCGGTTGAAATCGGGATGTCTTTCAGACCTTCTTCACCAACAATAGTTTGATTCACTGGATACACGAGTCGCGCACATTGACGGAAATTTCCAGATTCATCCTCCAAAGCAGGAACGGTCCAACCGGCTTCCGGCAACCAATCCAAAGACGGCCGTAAAACACTGAAAGATGCCTGGAAAAACTTTTCTTCACCTACTCCTCCCCTTGGAGGAAGTAGTAACTCAACAATGACGGCTTCTTCATCGTCGCCTAATATTTGTGTCACTTTCGCAGACCAGTAACAACCTTTTTCGAACCAATCCACAAGATTGCCTGCCTTCGAATCACCATCACAGATGACAATCAATTCCAAAATGGCTTCAATCGGAGGAGCTTCGTCGGCGCTTCGATAAAGCGGCGGATATCAAGGTCGCGTCACCCTTGTTTCTCCCTATTTTTTTTTATGTTTTTTGGATTTTTTTTCTGAAAATGAAAAATAGAAAAAAAAAAAGGTTATACTGTTCTTGGAAATTAAAAAAATGCAGAAACATTCTTGTGCAATCTATGTGCAATAACCTAAATGAATGGGGAAAAAAATGACGGTTGAGGAGATGAAGAAATAGGCATTGTAGTCATTCTCCCAATGTTTAGTTAGTCGTATTCAAGAAGAAAAAAAAAATGCTGAAATTATGCCTAACTTAATTTTGAGACTGTTGCGCTGTCTATGCGCGGTAATCTTAAGAATTATTTCAAATGTCAATGTGTAATCATATTCAAGAAGAATATTTTATGTCAATAACTTGATGAATTTGTATTTTTTGTTAAAAAATGTAACAGTAACGAAATTCTAATACAATGATCATTGTGGGACATAGTCAGTTTATGAGAAGTATTGGGATCCAATGAATGTTGGTGTGTTTACTTGTCTGAAATTCAAAAAGAAATGATGGTTTTAAATAAAACAAACCTTAATAGTATACTTTAAGAATAAGAAACAACATAGTGAATTCATTTTATTTAATTTCTTTTTTTTCCCTCCACTAACGAAAAGTGGAGAGCTCAGGTTTCGCCCAGATCTCAGGTTTTTTTTTCAACCAATTCGCTATTGAGGGTTTATGCTTTGGAACCGAATCTCTTTGTCATATGCCGAATCAACAATTATTGCCGGTAAGAGATACAATTATAATTACATCCCAAAGAACCTTGCGGAACATTGTCTCCGAATCCTCTCCAAAATGTTGAGACGAAACTTGATTGCTCAGCTTCGGGAATAGCATTGACAATGTGCCGATGAAACGCGTGGGAGGCGTGTAGAATGTGCACTTACGTGTAGTCTAGCCTTGATCACCCGACTGCGAATACAAATCATTGTTCACCGAATGTAGACCTTAATTAGATTGGTCAAGAGTCTAGGAGACAGTTCTGGATGTTTTAGATAGAGGTGCATGGTGATGTGCTAATCCAACACAGCATCCCCAAGAAATTCAAGACCTAGCTGATAGCATCTTGGAATTTCAAGGAGCAATATTTTTTTTGTCGCCCCAGGATGTATTGTATTACTCCTAGATAATTAAATAATTGTCGCCTGGAAATACTATTAGAAAGACAATTAGCACCGATTGGAAATATGGCAACGGAACCACCGTCACGGTCCATCGAAGGAAGCTTAAGATGGAGGTTCTCGGATGAGTTGCGTCTTCTTCGGTCGGTAATCTTCACAACGCTAAACTATAATATGTTTTCATGTGAATAATTTTTACCTTTTTTTCAAGTATCTATTTTGTATTTATCTTCTTGTTACTGTATAGTTGCAAAGAATTTTTTGGGGTCGCCGAGCAAAGAATACGGCCATAATTTTCTCGGAGAGATGAAGAAGAGAAAAGGTAATTCATAAAGTGATAAACCTAGAGAGCTATATGGTGTTTAGAAATAAAAAATGCAAAAAACATTCTTGCGCAATTTATGTGAAATAACCTAAATAAATGGGGGAAAAAATGACGGTTGCGGAGGTTAAAAGGCATCGTATTCTCACAAAGTTTAATTAGACGTATTCTAGTACGGAAAAAAAAATGTTGAAATTATGCCAGAATTAAATTTGAGATTGTTGTACTACCTACACGCGGTAACCTAATCGAATGAAATAAAAAAAAATGAATGTTTACTATGGAGGTTAAGATGAATTTTAATCATTCTCAGAAAGTTTAACTAATCATATTCAAGAATTCCAGTAGGTCGAGGAGGTGGAGAACTTCGCGGAGTTGTCAATTGAGAACGAGCATGCTGAGCATCATCAAGATGAAACGGGCCAGAGGGATATGCATTCCAAGGAACAACAATATGTTCCCCGTGGGGGTTCCTGTGGCATGAGTGATGGTGGCCGTAGGGGATACCCTAACGGCCGTGGAGGGCATGGTACTGGCAGGGGAGGTGGCTACCAGAATGGGGGTGGTCGCCACCAATATTATGACCAGGGCGGAAATTACTATACGAGGAATAGTAGGTGGAGGGGGGGGGCTGGAGTTATGGGGGGAACCATAACCATCAAGGCAGGCAGGTTCAATCTGGGTATGCTTCAGCAGATTCCTAAACCATGGTGGGATTTAGCTGTTAGTTTCGTTATTTTGGGGAGGGTTCTGGTTGGTAGAGGGGTTCTGTTCATTCAGAGATCCATCAAGAACCCGTTGAACTCTTGAAAATACGGATTATGTTTTTGGGGAAGGGGTGTTTCAGTGAAAGTTTGTACTTTAAGATTCTAGTAAATTGCTTTTTATCTTTGCAATATATAAAAAAAAAGAATCATATTCAAGAAGAACAAAAAATTAAAATTATGCCCAACTAAAATCTGAATTAATTAATATTGAGAATTGTTTCAAATATACTAAAACAAAATTATTCATTCAAACCCCAAAAAAACATTCCCAATCCTCATTCCTATTATATGTCAAAAGTTAAAATTCTAACGGATTGTTGAAAGTGAGGAAAAGTAGAGTTAATGTTCTTTGGATTTTAAATTTAAGGAAAGTAAAGCAAAATATATTACTTTATTTTGTTTATTACATATAATTAAAAATGTTATTGTGGGAATTCTGATTTTTATTTTAATTTTTATTAATAAATTAAGAAATAAATTCTAATTACTTTACTACCAAACGTACTCTTAACGTGTTTTTAAAGATACTATTAATAAATTCTACTCCGAATTCAAGATTCTATTCATAAATATGCAAGAATTAAAACTTGTTAGAGATGAAGCCATTCAATTCAATATTAAACAAACTATTGTCTTATAATTTTGTTTTCCATTAATCTCATAGTAATTTCAATATCCTAAAATAAAAGAATTATAGTAAAATAAAAGAGATTATCATAGAAAATTGCACATATTTGAACAAGTATATCTCCTATATAAAAAAATAATAATAATTTTAAACGCAGTAGGGAAAAAAAAGAGGAAAAATCTTGAAGAAAATGAATGGTGAGAAAGAGGATATGATTAATTAAAAAATATGATGATAGGAAGAAAAAAATAGTTGTAGAAAGAAGTAAATATAATAAACTTATTTAATGATTAAAATCATACCAACCTTAAGATGGGTAATAAGAATCCTGGAAAGTTGTCTTATTTTCTATGATCTTGATATTCTTTTTTACTTTCCTAAATTTCTTAAAATTGAACCAAACATAAACCTTAAAACATAAGGAAAGAGAATACTTTTTTTTTTTTTGGTGCAATGAAGGAGGCTAATGCCTTAAGTGGTAGAACAATAAGTAATCAATTTTTCTATAACTATCAATAGAAACAATTAAACTCAATACCAACGACAAGCGAAAATTATACCATGCGCATTAAGTGCAACCAGCATTAAGTGCACCCAGTTGGCTGGATTTAATGCCCCTGTGCAATTCACGAGCTATGTAGGGGCGTGGGTCAGACCATGTGCGCTTTAATGCGCAGGTTTTTTTCTTTTTTTTTTCCTTTTTGGTTTATGGGGTGATTTTGGGGCTTTTTTTTTTTTCCTATTTTGCATTTTTGGTTTACCGGGGGTTATTGGGGGGTTAGTGGGATTTTTTTCTCTCTTTTTTTTTTTGTGTTTAGTTGTATTTTTAATACGCATGACTTTTTCTTCTTTTTTTTTGTTTTGGTTTAGTGGTTTTTTTCCAATTGTGAAATTGTGCATTTATCTATATATTATTAACCTCTATTTTGATTATTTAACAATGGAAAACTTCATGTGTTTTCTTTTTGCAATTTATTTCTTTTCACAGTAATTCCAATTTCTTAGTTAATATATTTTTAAAATATACACGGAAGCTGGAGGACACTTTAAATGCTTTTTCCCTCAAGCTCTGGTGAAAGATTCAACATGATCAAGGTGTTTAGGCTAGATTTGTTACATCCTTGTCCGATTCAGCTAGGTCTAAAACAAGTCGGAAGCGGGTTTTAAAGGTGGAAATTCAGGCAGCGGAGAGCATTTTCAGGATCATAAATGATGGAGCATCTTCTTTTTGAATTTGACAAATGGTTGGATGAGGCATTCTATGGAGAGATGAGGCAGATCCTCCAAGGCCAGAACTAACGGTTAACGAATTTTTTGGTTCAAAATCTTCTTTTTTTGCAGAAATTTGCAGGTTTAATAGACCCTCACCTGGCGGGAAAGTTAAATGCAACGGAGATGACCTTTGTTGAAGAGCAAGACAAACTTGTGTGGAAGTCATATCCAAGGGGGAATTTCACTATCTTCTCGGATTCGTGCGAAAAAAGAGAACAGATTCCTTTACTTAAAATTTTCTGCAACAAAGTTTTGCCAATTAAAATATCCTTTTTTATGTGGAAATTTTTTAATAGTTTGGTTCCTTTTCCTGAAATTTTGCAGAGAATGGGAATATATGCGAGACCATCACGATGTCTGTTTTGTTGTGACGAAGAAGAAACCATAGATCATACTTTCTATCAATGTGCAAAGGTGAAACTGATTTGGACTTACTTTGCATCATCTTTGTCAAACCATGTAGGATGGAGGAGCAATATACAAGTTTGGCATTCTATGGGGAGCTATACCACAGCTAAGCAGACTATTCAAATGATGCTTCCTAATTTTCTCATGTGGGAGATCTGAAAATTTTGCAACAAGTTGCTCTATGAAGATACAAATTTTTTCCCAGATACTCTTATGCAAAATGTTAAAGCTCATATTTCAAACTTGATGAGTGTCCACAAGCTTCGAGCAAGAACAAATGAATAAAAGTGAGGCTTAGAAAGGATTTTCAATGCAAAAGTCTTGGCTCCAAAGCCCAAAAGAATTCTTTCTTTGCGATGGCAACCACCAGAGCCAGGGGAAACAATTTTGAATATAGATGGGTCAGCTCTAGGTCAGCCTGATAAAGCTGGATGGGGATTTGTCTTGCGAGGAGAAAGACGAAAGTTTATAACTTTTTGAGAGGTAAGTGGTATTTAGATAAATGTGCTTTCCCATACTAAAGGATTAGATAGTTCGTGAATGTAATATAGAAGATAGGTAAACCAGACTAAGGAAATAGAAATGATGTGGATTTACGGGGTTTAAGGCCTCCCTAAAACCCTAATCACTTTTACGAAGTTGATGGTAACTTTTGTTATAAGGTTTTTATTTGTTTTTGGTAATTTCCAGTTACAAGAGTTTTACTTGTAATAGAAGTAGTCTTTTTAATCGCTTTCATAGTAGGAATTTAATTTTAGTTATTTTAATATTTTTTCAAATTCAATTAGGGTTTCCTTGAATTAGGGTTTTTCGTTGTAAAGGCCCATTTATCCCTATAAATAGGGGCATTTGGCTGAATTTTATATATGTGATTTGATTAATTTTGATGATGAATCAATAAGAAGGAGTGAAGTTCTTATTGTGTTAATATGGGTGATTAACTTGATTATGTGCATGAGTTTGAATTTGGTTTATTGCAAACTGCGCGGCTATCCTTGTTCGAGATTAGGTGTTTCTCAACTTGGATTCTGAGTTCGTGGTCCTCTTAGACAAATCGATGTGTTTCTATTGCGAGGTAGGAATTTAATTGACACATTCTAATAGGGTTCGATCCGAAAACACTTCTTCCATCTTTTGAATTTTCTATTCGATTTATACTTGAATCGAAATATCCTCGGAGTCGTTGGTTGTCTTGGTGAGTTATAGGTGGAACAAGAGCAAGTCTTGGTGTCGAAATTTGAAACAAGCCGCAAGTTTAGACTCGCACTCTGTTGAATCCGAAGAATTCATATCAATTGGCATCAGAGCTTAGGTTTGCAAAATCAGTCCTTTAATTTTCTAAAAGGTTCCAATTGAGTCCCTGAAGTTTATATATTGTGCAAATTGATCCTATTACTCCTGATTTGTGTAAATAAGTGCTGGTTGTTCATGCTTCGTGCACATTGGTCATCTGATAAATAGATCTGACAATTAAGTCCTTTTACTTTGCTAAGAGTGCAACTTGATCCTTGAGTTTGTTGGTTTGTTAAATTTGACTTCGTATGTTGTGGAAATATGTTTCGGAATTTTTATAGCCATGATCAATTTGATAATTTTGATCAACCAAGAGATCAAAGGAGTCAAAGAAAATATTATTATGATTATGATCGAGATAGAAATTATAGCCGAGGAGATGGATTCCGAGCCGAATTTCGTGATAATCATGATGATACTTTTGGTTAAATGAATCAAGATTATAAGGATATGGAGGAAGAAATTGCAAAGATCAATGAGAAACTTTCTTGTATACTTGATTCATTGCAAAAGAAACAAGCACTACCTTAGGAAGTAACCGAAAAGGTGATCGAGAAGGTAGAGACTGTGAATGTGTTCAAGGAAGTGATCAAGGAGACAGCCAAAAAGGTGACCGAGGAGCCAGTTCAGAAGGTGCTTGAGGAGGTCGCCAAGGAGGTGTCCAAGGATGGGGTTAAGAGGGCCGTGTCTAAAGTTCAATCCATTGCAGTTGATCAAGTGAAAGAGCCCAGTCTTTTACCACAATATTCAGAGCTTGAGCACATAGATTTTGTGTTTGGCAATTTATTCTCAACAGAGGCTCAGGTTCTTCATCCAGTAAATACCTTTTTCAATCTTTTTGGTATAGCGTTTCACAAGATGGAAAATGAAAGATCAAGGTATCGCTTCTTCCTTCGTTACTATATACTTCAAGATTCGAAGACGAATTTTTTCAAGGAATGGGGGAGTGATGCGATTGTAGATGGACCGCTAGGGATTGTTCCTAACCAAGATGATCACTATATTGATTTTGATCTTGTAACTGTTGGTTTTATTCTTTCTTGTGTTAAATTCAAAGAAGATGACAAGGTTGTTAAGATGCATTCGGTCCAAAACGAGTCTGGCGAGTTGAGATCTTCCATGGAGTTCCCCTTGTGCGATAATGCAGATTCGGGGACGAATCTGTTCGAGAAAAAAGGGAATGATGTGGATTTACGGGATTTAAGGCCTCCCTAAAACCCTAATCACTTTTACGAAGTTGATGGTAACTTTTGTTATAAGGTTTTTACTTGTTTTTGGTAATTTCCAATTATAAGAGTTTTACATGTAATAGAAGTCATCTTTTTAATTTCTTTCCTAGTAGGATTTTAATTTTAGTTCTTTTAATATTTTTCCAAATTCAATTAGAGTTTCCTTAAATTTGGGCTTTCCTTTGTAAAGGCCCGTTTGTCCCTATAAATAGG